CAAAATGAAATTGGGAAAAGGAAAAATAAGTAAGAGAGAAAAGAAAGACAGTGAAATAGAAGAGGGGAAGGAACTATCTATATGGGGAGAAAACTCCAATAGAACAGCCACTAATCCCAACAAATTCCAGCAACAGATACCTAGAGGTGATTGCAAACTACAAACAACTAATATCAAGTGAGGCGAGGGAAAACAGAAGCAAAAAATAACCAAAAAAACCCAACAAAATATAAAGAAAAAGCAAAACAATCTCACAATCAAGCATAAAAAAACCTCAATATAATCAACAACCAAGCAAACAACAACAAAACTACAGAGAGAAAAAAAAATTTGGATAGTGAAGAAAGAGAAAAGGGAGGTGTATATGTACTTAGAGCAGGGTATTGGAAATTAGATATACAAGTAGGGTGAAATTTTAACCAGGTAAAAATAAGGAATAGGGAAAATCTAAAGCAGGAATAGGGTAAGAGAACCGGACAACAGAAGGGGAACAGTGAGGAAGAGAGTTTTGGCATAAAGGTAAAGTTGAGATAGAGTAAAATGATGCTAAAGGAAAGATGAAAATAGATTGTATAATACTAATCCAAAAATAAAATAAAGAGAAAATAAAATGACACTTAAAAGAAAAGGTAAAATGGTAGTAGTAATAATACTGGTTAAAAATGAAAATGTAGTAATTAAAAAGGTAAAATCACTTGATGAAAAAAGAAAAAAAATAGTTTCTTAAGTAAAAGGTGAAAAAAATTAAAAATGTGCAGTAGTGAAGGTCCTTCATTTTCTCTACTCTTCTGTTTGGCATGCCTTAGTCCTGTCAGGTATTCAGGAGAGTGTTGAAGTTCCCTGTGATACACTGTTCCTCCGTGTTGTAAACCACAGTCCTGATTTTAAAGTAGGCTGTATTTGTTTCCCAGGCTGCCTTTATTTGTGTTTATAGGAGAGTCTGTTTGTGGTTCAGTCCCTGGGTGGCAGTGTTTCTGGATTGACCTCCAAGGCTACAAGTCCTCTCTAGCCAGTATTTAGTTTTTGTTTTCTCTATTGCACTTAATACTGGTTTGGGAGAGTTGACTGCCCTTGAGCTGGTTCCTTGGTCGTTACTCCACGCTCTGATTCCCAGGTTCCACAAAAACAACTTTCCCCTGCAGTCTCTGTGAGTGACCCCAACTGGGTGATCCTATGTACTGGGTTTAATAATCAAAAGCAAAGATTTAAGGAGAAAAAAAACACACACACAAAAACAAAAAGAGCCAGAGTGTGCAATTCTCCCAAAGTCTCTTCCGCACGTCCTCTCTCCCCTGGCACTAAGCAGCCAGCACATTGGCAAAATCCGAGGCTGCCTTTTTGCACCCAGTCCAGCTATGGGCTGAGTTCTCTTCTGCCAGAAGCCCTGTGGGACCCCTTTCACACTCGCGGATCACGCTGGCCCCAACTGCCGCGGACTTCCCCCACGCGCACGCGCGCGCGTTCCTCCCTCTGATCTTAATTACAAACCGCACTTTTATCTAGGCGAAATCTGAACTTTCCGTGAGGAGGAGCCGGGCTTGTCTGAGTTCAAGTATTCGTGCTGCTTGAGATCCAGTGTTCCTAGGTTCGTAGCTGGACCCTGGGTGCCGTGGTTGCAGGGTTTCTGGATATATACCCTTCCGATATCAGCCACTCAAGATGGCATGGTCTCCGCGGCTGAGCCAGCTGCCCAGGAGAGATTTCATCAGCAGTAGAGGCTGCCCGGTTAGGGGAGCCTGATCTGGCAGTCTCCAACAGTTCTCTGGAGTATAGCTATTGCTCACCCACAAATTTACGCTCTCGGTACGTCCACACACTCTCCTTTCGTTCTCTCACTCTCACACTGTGTTACAGTCTGCCTTCCCTTCGTTAGCCATCTTCTCTCCTCATCAAGTATTCTATGTAGTGGACGGAACTGTATGTGCAGGACTTTCATAGAACTGGCAGCACAGGAAGCTTTTTTACACCAGTGTCATCATAAACATCTGAGTAATGCATTTCCCTATGACATTGTGATAGGTATGATATCCCTAGGCGATTTTAATATTTCAAATCCACAGTAATCTTTTCTTTTATAGAAAGGATTTTATTTTTCATTAAGTTCTAATTGACATTAGTTTAAGGTGTACCTCATAATGACATGATATTTGTCTATATTGTGAAATGATCATCACAATAAGTCTCATTAGCATCTCCTTTCCCCCCATTGACCTCTCTGCCGGGGCCCAGCCCCAGCGGTCCTGGGGTTCCCAAAGGTGTGGACGGAGTCGGCGAAGAATGAAGGACACGGAGACAGCATTCAGATGATCAGCATAGTTGGGTTCTCTCTTTATTCTCCTGTTACATCTGTATACCATTTGATCCTATAAGCATGCCTCTATAGTTACATCATCATGTTTTGGGTCCTCCCTTGACCTTCTACAGTTCCTCGTTTCATGTCTATAGTTTCTTATCTGACCTTTGCCAAAAATCCCATGTCCATTTAGTTCTGTTGATTTTAATCCTATCCATTCTATTCCAAAGGTTAGGGCTAGTTTATTATCTTCATTCCAAGGTCACTACTCTACTGTTCTGTTAAGCTACAAGGAAGTAACTGAAGGAGATTATCCTAAGTAAAGATTATGTAGCTTAAGGGTGATTGTTTGTAGTTAAGGTGATTAACTACCCGCCTGGCACTTAGTTAAGGGGTTTTACTGATTTATTTCCTTCCTTAGTCCTGTTAATCCCTAACTCCAAGGAAAAATCCCCACCTGGGGAAACAACCTTTCTTGGGGAGGTGGCCCTGGTTAGAACACATAGCGCTAAGAAGGGGAGCAAACATATTAAGAACAGTATGCCAGGTCCCTTGAAACATATGCTGTGCAGATGTTTCTTCCCTGCAGCGACTGTGTCACGCAGCAAGGGTGGACCAGCTTCTGGCACCTCTCCCTGACTGCTCCTATCCCCAACACATGCCCTCACCCCTTCCTGTCTGTGTCCATTGGTTATGCTATATGCATGCATACAAGTCCTTTGGTTGATGTCTTATCTACCCACCTCCCCTGCCATCTCGCTGAGGTTTGATGGTCTGTTTGATGCTTTTATGTCTAGAGATCTATTTTTGAGAGCTTGTTTGGAGGTTCTAGCAGGGGAGCACAGCTACTTGTATACCCTTGACCAAAGACCGGTCCTCTCCTCGGGGGGGAAGGTCGTCCTCTTCGACTGAGCGCGCAGCTTCAGGAGGGACGCACATGGATCGGTGAGGGAGGAGGGGGACACCCGCCTAGCCAGCCAGATCAGCCGAATCAACCCTGGTGATCAATGGGGTGACAGATGTCGCAGCCAGATCACCCTCACATCCTAGAGATCTATTTTTGTTCATCAGTTTAAGTTGTTCATTATATTGCACAAATGAGTGAGATCATGTGATACTTATCTTTCTCTTATTGGCTTATTTGGCTTAGCATAATGCTCTTCAGGTTTATCCATTCTGATGCAAATGGTAAGAGTTCTATTTTTACAACAGCATAGTATTCCATTGTGTAGATGTACAACAGCTTTTTCTTTATTATTTTTTAAATTAATTTCAGAGAAGAAGGGAGAGGGAGAGAGAGATGGAAACATCAATGATGATAATCACTGATGGGCTGGGCTGTGGGCTGCTTTGTGTGCCGTGGGGTCTCAGCAGTGTTGGCTATGATTCAGTGGGCTGTTGCTCCAGGGTGGTGGCAGGGCCTGTGTCCCACTTGGGGGAAGCTGAATGTTGCTTTGTTGGTGCCAGGTTTGTGGTGCCGCTTCTTTGTAAATAGCCAGTGTGTGTCACAGCACCTGCTACTTGGAGCGTCTGCCTGTGGGTGGTCAGTATGTGTCAAAGCGACTAGGGACACTTAGCATAGTGCCCTTTTATATGTATAGGTAGATTATGTGTGTTTACATGTCCTAAAAATCATGAGTAGAGGACTTTTTTTTTTTTTTAATATGGAACGCTTCACGAATTTGCATGCCATCCTTGTGCAGGGGCCATGATAATCTTCTCTGTATCGTTCCAATTTTAGTATATGTGCTGCCAAAGCGAGCACAATGAGTAGAGGACTTTTGTAGAGGGCTAAGTTGCCCTATCCTGCTCATGCCTGAGCTCTAACTCTAACTTCTTATCTCCATGAAATGAGAGAGGAAAAAGAAGGTCAAACTGAGTTACTAACCAATATTATAAAAACAACCCTAACTGGTTTGGCTCAGTGAATAGAGCATTGGCCTGCGGACTGATAGGTCCCAGGTTCGATTCCGGTCAAGGGCATGTACCTTGGTTGCGGGCACATCCCCAGTAGGAGGTATGCAGGAGACAAGTGATCGATGTTTCTCTCTCATCAATGTTTTTTCTATCCCTCTCCCTTCCTCTCTATAAAAAATCAATAAAATATATTTTAAAAAAATTATAAAAACAAATGATCATCCATATTACTCCATAAGAATGCTTTCATTCATTCAGGTGTATCTGACTCCTTCTAATAATCTGGAGTACTTCAGGACAATATGGCCAATTACATTTTGTTCCAAGTTGAATTTCCACACACCTCCTGGTCTCTCCTGTTTGGTGATGAGAATAGAAAAGAAAGCTATCAAGCCTTTATTCCATTCATGGTCATTCAAACTTTATGCAGCTATGACAGTGTGTGTCATGTAGTGCTGCATCAAATGGTGGTTATAAAGGAGTTGAGTTTTCTCACAAGGAATCAATAAGCTTAAAATAGAAGTATTTTAATTTATTAAATTGAAGTTGTTCAGGGTGCTCTTTACTCTGATATTAGAGAGCAGTGAAGACTTGAAGTGATCACAATAAAATAATATCAATAAATTCCATGTGTTCATGAGGAAGTGAGTGTGGCAAATAGTCTTGCTAGTGTTACAATCAAGTTATAGACTCAACGTTGGGGACCACGTGTCTCCTGTGAACTACTTATGAAGTATGTATAGATAACTAATGCTGTCTATCTCACCCATGCCTATGTGGGATGTTTTAGGTCTCAGTGGCCTTTGAGGATGTTAATGTGAAGTTCACCAAGGAGGAGTGGGCTTTCCTGGATCCGACCCAGAAGAAAATCTACACAGATGTGATGCTGGAAACCTTCTGGAACCTGGCATCAGTTGGTAGTTATCACAAATTCTATTTTTCTTGTAATATATTTTTATTGATTTCAGAGAGGAAGGGAAAGGGAGATAGAAAAATCAATGATAAGAGAGAATCACTGATTTGCTACCTCCTGTATGCCTCACACTGGGGATCTAGCCATCAAACCAGGTCTACTGGGAAGTTGATCCCTGACTTCTTGGTTCATAGGTTGACCATCAACCACATAGCGACTCTGGCTGGCAACAATCTGTTACTTACTTAGTCAATTGGAAAACTAGTGTTGCTTGCTCATCAGTGCTGTTTCAAGAACTGAAATGTGGAAAGGGAAAACATTGGTAATTAAACTAGGAATGTTCACAGCTTATTGTGCACCTAAAATCTAACCATTTTCATATTCTCTAATACTTTATAATGTTTTTTTCTAGCATGTATTTTAGAAGAAAAATGTGAAGACCATGACAGTGAAGATCAGTATGAAAATGATGGGATGAATCTTAGGTAAGTCGCATTGCCATGAGAAAGCAATGTCCTGCAAGAGCATCTTTTTTTTTTTAAATACGATCTTACAAATATTTATTTTACTTATTCATTTATTTAATATGTATTTATTTATTTCAGAGAAGTAGGGAGAGAGAGAGAGAGAAAGAGAGACAAACATCAATGATGAGAGAGAATTATTATTATTATTATTTTTTTATTGCTTAAAGTATTACAAAGGGTATTACATATGTGTCCATTTTATCCCCCTGCCCTAGACAGTCCCCTAGCCTCCCCTATCCCCCAATGTCTTATGTCCACTGGTTATGCTTATATGCATGCATACAAGTCCTTTAGTTGATCTCTTACCCCCCTACCTCCTGCCCCCCAACCCTCCCCGGCCTTCCCGCTGCAGTTTGACAATCTGTTTGAGGCAGCTCTGCCTCTGTATCTATTATTGTTCAAAAGTTTATAATGGTCTCTATTATCCATGAATGAGTGAGATCATGTGGTATTTTTCCTTCATTGACTGGCTTATTTCACTTAGCATAATGCTCTCCAGTTCCATCCATGATGTTGCAAATGGTAAGAGTTCCTTCCTTTTTAGAGCAGCATAGTATTCCATCGTGTAGATGTACCACAGTTTTCTAATCCATTCATCTACTGATGGGCACTTAGGCTGTTTCCAGATCTTAGCTATGGTGAATTGTGCTGCTATGAACATAGGGGTGCATATATCCTTTCTGATTGGTGTTTCTGGTTTCTTGGGATATATTCCTAGAAGTGGGATCACAGGGTCAAATGGGAGTTCCATTTTCAGTTTTTTAAGGAAACTCCATACTGTCTTCCATAGTGGCTGCACCAGTCTGCATTCCCACCAGCAGTGCACAAGTGTTCCTTTTTCTCCACATCCTCTCCAGCACTTGTCGTTTGTTGATTTGTTGATGATAGCCAGTCTGACAGGTGTGAGATGGTACCTCATTGTTGTTTTGATTTGCATCGAGAGAGAATTATTGATCGTCTGCCTCCTGCACGCCCCACACTCGGAATCAAGCCCACCACATCGGCATGTGCCCGGACCATGAATCAAAATATGACATCTTGGTTCATATGTCGGTGTTCAACCACTGAGCCATGCCGGTGGTACGAAATTATGTTTTTATTATTTTACAGTGTGGAGGTGAGAGGGAGAAATTGAAACATTGATTAGCTGCCTCCTGCACGCCCTGTACAGGGGATAATAAGTCTGCAACCTGGCCATATTCTCTTTCGGAGAGTAGAACTGGCAACCCCCCTGGCGGGTGGGTCCATGCTGAACCACTGAGCCACATGGACCCAGTCCACAAAACAATCTTAAAACCAGGTAATCCAATTATATCAGCCCAGTTTTAAATGTATTGATTCTTAGAATTATTTTTTTTAAAAAATACAGGCCCAAACCGGTTTTGCTCAGTGGATAGAGGTTCGGCCTGCAAACTAAAAGGTCCCAGGTTCGATTCTGGTCAAGGGCATGTGCCTTGGTTGTGGGCACATCCCCAGTTTGGGGTGTGCAGGAGGCAGCTGGCCAATGTTTCTCTCTCATCGATGTTTCTGACTCTCTGTCCCTCTCCCTTCCTCTCTGTAAAAAATCAATAAAATACATTTAAAAAAAATATGCAAGTATCATTAATGAATATAAGTGTTTTTATAATATTTATGATCCATCCTACTTCAGAGGTTTTTGGGATATCCACTTTTAAAAATTGAAATGTACAGAAATGCCCCACATTCCTTGAAAATGGTAAAGATGTCATTATCATACTACCAATAAATATTAAATCATTAAGAGAGTATTAATAATATGCTTCTGATTTTTACAGCAGTCATATGGTAGAGAGACTCTGTAAAAGGAAAGATGGTACTCAATGCAGAGAAAACTTCAGCCAGATTCCAAATCTTAATGAAAAGAAAGAAACTCCTACTGAAATAAAGCAACCTAAATCCAGGTTGTGTAGGCAAATCTTCATGGGTTATTTATCCTTGAATAACCACCTGAGCTCTCACATTGTACCCAAACTATACCTCTGTCAGGAATATGAAGAAAGCCCTTATAAATGTAAGGAACCTACGAAAGCTTTCAAGTATCACCGATATATTCGGAGACATGAAGGCAGTACCAGTGGGAAAGCTTTCCACTATTCAACTTTCCTTAGAAATCAAGAAAGAACGCATGTTCCTCGGAAACTGTATGAATGTAAGCAATGTGGGAAAACCTTCAGTCATCGATACTCTCTTGTAAAACATAAAATAAGTCATGATGGAAAGAAGCCTCATGAATGTAAGGAATGTGGTAAAACATTCCTTTTTCGACATATTCTGCAATGTCATGAAAGAACTCATACTGGGGAAAAACCTTATGAATGTAACCATTGTGGTAAAGCTTTCGCTAGGCCAGCTTCCCTCCGATGTCATGAAAGAACTCATATTAAGGAAAAACCCTATGAATGTAAGCAATGTGGCAAAGCCTTTAGTTATCGCACCTCTCTTCGAAGACATAAAAAAAGTCGTGATGGAAAGAAGCCGCATGAATGTAAAGAATGTGGTAAAACATTCTGTGATCTATGTGCCCTCCGCGTTCATGAAAGTATTCATACTGGGGAAAAACCTTATGAATGTAACCATTGTGGTAAAACTTTTTCTTATCCAACTTACCTCCGACATTATGAAAGAACTCATAAGGAAAAACCCTATGAATGTAAGCAATGTGGAAAAACCTTCTGCAGTCTCAACTCTCTTGAAAGACATAAAAGAAGTCATGATGGAAAGAAGCCTCATGAATGTAAGGAATGTGGTAAAACATTCCTTTATCGATATTCTCTGCAAAGTCATGAAAGAATTCATACTGGGGAAAAACCTTATGAATGTAAGCAATGTGGGAAAGCCTTCAGTTATCTCAGCTCTCTTACAATACATAAAATAAGTCATGATGGAAAGAAGCATCATAAATGTAAGCAATGTGATAAAACATTCCTTTATCAATATTATCTCCAACGTCATGAAATAACTCATACTGGGGGAAAACCTTATGAATGTAAGCAATGTGGGAAAGCCTTCAGTTATCTCAGCTCTCTTCGAAGACATAAAAAAAGTCATGATTGAAAGACGCCTCGTGAATGTAAAGAATGTGGTAAAGCAGTCCGTGATCGATGTGCCCTCTGAGCTCATGAAAGTATTCATACTGGGGGAAAACCTTACGAATATAACCATTGTGGTAAAGCTTTCTCTCATCCAACTTTCCTGTGATATCATGAAAGAACTCATAGTAAGGAAAAACACTATGAATGATAGCAGTGTGGGAAAGCCTTTATTCATCCTCGTTCCCTTCAAATTCACCTAAATACTCAGTGGAGAGTATGCATAATGAATGAAAGAATTCACACGGAAAATAAGCCTTATTGTGTAAAGATTGCACAAAAGCCTTTGACCATCCCAATTCTTTTTCTTTTTTTTATACTCACCTGAGGATATTTTTCCCTTAAGAGAGTGGAAATTAGAGACAAAGAAGGAGCAATATTGATGTGAGAGAAACACATCAATTGGTTGCCTCCTGTACACACCTAGAAATGAAAGCACACACAATGGAGAAAAGCTCTATGAATGTTAGGAACGTGTTAAAGCTGTCAGTTCCTCCAATTCTCTTAGGAAGCATGGAAGAACACGTACTGGGGGAAAACCTTATGCAAGTAAACAATGTGGGAAAAGCTTCCGTTGTCTCACACATCTTGGATGACAAAAGTAGTCATGATAGAATCCTCATGACTAAGGAATGAAGTAAATCTCTTTGCCATGCGTTTTCTCTTAGAGATGTGAAATGTATACTGGGAAGAAACCCTATGGATGCAAGCCATGTGGGATAACCTATAGCCATCCCAGATCCTTTCAAATTCACAAAAATGCTCATAGTGGAGAGAAATCATATCAATGCAAGGAACGTGGTAAAGCCTTTAGGTTCCCAACTAATTTTTACACACATTTGAAAACAAAATGTATTGATAAACACTGTTAATGTAAAGAGTAGCAAAAAGCCTTCATTTATTTCTCAGGTGTGCCATCATGAACTAGTATGATTATCCTTCTTGGGGATGGATCCTAGAAATGTAAGAGGGTTAGAAATCATTCATTTCTTCCAGTTTATTGTGAAGGATGAAGAAACTCACTGAACAGAAGCCCTGTCATGTAAAGATTGTAGAAGTGCCTTTGGCCATCCTAATTCTTTACAGAACCATGAAGGGCCTCAAGAGTAAGTGTATGAACATATGGAATGCGGGAGAGCCTTTCTTGGACAAGTGAAAATGCAACTGGAGAAAAAGTGTGTGTGTGTATATATATATATATATATATATATATATATATATATATACACACACACACACACACACATACATACATACATACACAGAAGGTGGGAAAGCCTTCAGCTGTCCCCTGTCCCTTTTCCTTGGAAAGGTCATGAAGGAACTCAAAGTGGAAAGTTGTATTGAATGTAAAAATGTAGGGAAACCTTCATGTTGCCTCATAGCCCTACAACACCATGTGACAATATACACTGTATAATCGACAACTAAAAGAACTTACAATTGTTTTCTAAATTTCATTTTGTCCATCACCATTCATTCCCTCTATGCCCTTTTCCACCCTCCTTCATCCTCCACCACCCATGCAGTCACCACACTTGTCATGTCCATGAGTTTTCTTTTTTCCTTTTTGCTCAATCCCTCCACCTCCCCAGCCTCTGAGCTGAATTCCATTTTTCGCCCATGTCTTCTTAGCGAGCCTGGAAGGTTGGCAGAGTCTGTTCCCATGTTGGTTTGTGCTTAGCATCAGACTTTTTTGCTTTGCTTATGTTTTATCACATTTTTCTTGATTGCTATGAAAAGTCAAAATACAGTGAACCCCCATCTTAAGAAAAGGCATGTAAGCAAAACCTCCCCTGATTGTAAAGAGAAATTCTTGGCCTGTAGTCGAGTGAGTAAATTACACATTAAATGCCAGTTTGGGGAAAGGCAAAGTCACTACTCGAGTGAATTGAGAGAATGCACTTTGTTATATTTTTATTAAGTGTTCCTTTCTTCACAGAAAAATAAAATTCTTTGCTGAAGCTTGGAAAGCAGACAGCCCTGTGATCTGTGAAGTCTGATGTGTCCAGTAATTCAGACGGGATGGGCTGGAGTCAAGAACAGCATCCTATGGGCCAGAGCATCCTTGGGGCTCCTGGATTATTGGGACTCCTGCGTGCGTCAGGGGATGATGCTCTCACAGGGATGATTGGATGGTGCTCTCGCAGGGTGATGCTCTCACTCTCACTGCAGTGTGCTGGCCCTGCTCTGGGCGCTTGACTCTGCCCACTCAGATGCCACTGCAGCTCTGACCTCACCAGAGGAAGGGTGCTGAGCTCTCCTTTTCTGCTTAAAGCCACTGTCCTAGGCCCTCCTTCCTCTCTTGCTTCCCCATCCCTGACCGTCTGTTTGGGCTGACACATTCCTCTATCCCTCCTGCCGGTGGATCATGGAGCTCCCCAGAACTCTTCTTGTCATCACCCAAAACCTCTGCATGGTGGTTAATAAGTTCTCACCTCCTTCCGTGAGGTATTGGTAGGGAGGCCTGGAGACACAAGTCCTGACCCAAAGCCGAGCACTGTCCATGGGGCCCTAAAGTCGGGAGTAAATATTGTCATGGAAGAAATGTGTGGGTGAGAGCCACTGACCCTGTCTTTAACACACTATGTCTGGAAGAGGAAAAAATGAATCAAAACAACTCTTTTTAAAAATATATATATTTTATTGATTTTTTTACAGAGAGTAAGGGAGAAGAAGAGGGATAGAGAGTTAGAAACATTGATGAAAGAGAAACATCGATTCAGCTGCTTCCTGCACACTCCCCACTGGGGATGTGCCCACAGCCAAGGTACATGCCCTTGACCAGAATTGAACTGGGACCCTTCAGTTAGCAGGCCAATGCTTTATCCACTGAGCCAAACTGGTCAGGGCCAAAACAACCCTTTAGCTTGAATGTGGTTGAGCCTCAGACCCCAGTGCTGAGCGGAGGGCACTGGATTTCTTGCTGCAGGTCTGACTACCCTCAGCTCTGAGTCCTGGGACCATCCCCCATTTCCCTCAGGGTCCACAACCATCCCAGTGGTACAAGCATGGAGGAGCCTGGTGTTGCCAAGACTTAGGGCAGACGCAGGGATAGCCTTGTTCTGTATGAGCCTCCCTGTCCAACCTCCCCTTGTCTCTCTGTCCACACCCACCATGCCATCACAAGGAAGAAGAGAAAGAGAAAAAGGGCCTCAGGGCCATCCCGAGTGCAGTTATAGTTTTTGAAGGAGGGAACAGAGAAGACCCTCTGGCCTGTTCTGTGCTTATGATTCCAGATCCCCAGGAAGGGCAAGACAGGCTCACTCCACCGTGAACCAAGTGTGTTGCTGCCAAGAGGGATGTGCCAAGATCCTGTCCCAGGGGGTGCACCCTGTGCCCTGATCTCACCACCCCAAGAGGAGAGAAACCAGTGAAGTCTTACTGGCTCCTTCCATCGGCAGTTTCTGCTCATTCTGTTTACATTTCACACAGAGAAAGACTATAATCCAAGACTACAATCATATGCTTGAAATTGATTGTTAAATTTAAAGGGAGTTCAATTTTATGGAGACATGTAGTTGCAGTTATTCACTTACTAGAGGCCCGGTGCATAAAATTCGTTCACTGGGGTGGGGGGGGGGCGGGTGTCCCTCAGCCCAGCCTGCACCCTCTACAATCTGGGACCCCTCGGGGGATGTACGGCTGCCCTACGGGATTAGGCCTAAACTGGCAGTCGGACATCCCTCTCACAATCTTGGACTGCTGGCTTCTAACCACTCACCTGCCTGCTTGCCCCTATCTGCTTCTCCCTGCCAGCCTCATTGCCCCCTAACCACTCCCCTGGCAGCCTGATTGACACTTAACTGCTCCCCTGCCTGCCCAACTGCCCTCTGCCAGCCCTATTGCCCCTACTGCCCTCCCCTGCATGCCTGGTTGCCCCCAACTGCCCTCCCCTGCTGTCCATCTTGTGATGCCCTGGGAATGGCCATCATGTGGCAGCTATCTTTTGATGATGTAGGGGTGGCCATACTGTGAGGGCATGTCAATTTGCCTATTACCGCTTTATTATATAGTATGTAAATGCCTTTTATTATGCAGTAATAGCCAAGTATTATTTTGAAACTAACAGGAATATCGTAAAATTCTGACTCCCTCCAATCCATATGATTCATGTTGCTTATCCACTTGCAACCATTTCTCATTTAGTCGGACGCAGAGTCAAATACAAGGCACTGATTTCAAGTTTCGTTTCATTTCAACAAAATGCAGAGTCTTGGTTCAAAGGAAAGGACTTCCTAAAAGTTCTGGTCTTAAGCATTGCTTACAAAGAGCTTTCTTAGGGCCTTAATGGTGACCTGATCAAGTGCACATGGTTCCACATTGCTCTGCAAATCCAGCTACTGTGGGAAAACATTGTGCAAGGGCCCTTGCCAAAGCCTTTCAGACCAACACACATGCTGAAGGGGAGTGGGGGCGCTGGGCCAGGCCCGTCCCAGGTGCTGTTGGGAGCAGGAGGTGCAGCCAAAATGCCTGACTCAGGAACCAGTGGTGGGTCCCACACAGGAGGATCTTCATGATGCCCCAGGAATGGCAGCAGCTATGGGTGCCATCAGGTGGGTGTGTGGCTGCCACATGTGCCCGCCTCGGGGAAAGGCTCGGTGGCTCCACACCTGGTCCCGGGGCTTTCCTTCTTCTCTCTGGACAATCCGAATCCCCTTCCATTTAATCTGCTTCATGCTTCACTGCGTGTGCAGTCACTTCATGTTCTGGCTGGAAGGTCACGGATGCAGGGGCAGGTCTGGAGGACACAGACCCTCCCCAAAGAAAGGGCCTAGCACCTGGAGCATCGCAGCAGCTCTGCGAAGGGCAATGGGGTGAGTGGGAAACCTGGGGCAGGTGGTGGGCGAGCGCCTGCCAGAAGCTCTGGTCCTGGCCCGGCTGCTCCTGGCGCTGGCCTGAACTTAGAAACGCGGACCAGCACTGACTATGTCCACACAGGACCGCAGGCCCCTCAGCATTTGAGGCTGATTCCAACCCCACCGGGTGCTCAGGACAGAGGACCATGCGGGTCAGGTAACCGCCCAGCTGAGAGCACATTTTGGAAGTTTGCCAAAACTTACAAATTTTAACAAATACTTTCAGAGTAGCTTGAAAACTGCACTGGAAGGAAATCCTATTAGTGTAACTAACGTACATGTAAGCCTGCTGCAAATGAAGTCACATACTCCCCAAAACTCATAGTATTAAAGAAGTTCTCTAAGCTTTTGACATATTTGTTCATTATCAGTACTCATTCTTTTTTTGTTAGTTTCTTTAAATTGATGCTTTAGAGCAGCCGTGGGCAAACTACGGCCCACGGGCCGGATCCGGCCCGTTTGAAATGAATAAAACTAAAAAAAAAAAAAAGACCGTACCCTTTTATGTAATGATGTTTACTTTGAATTTATATTAGTTCACACAAACACTCCATCCATGCTTTTGTTCCGGCCCTCCGGTCCAGTTTAAGAGCCCATTGTGGCCCTCGAGTCAAAAAGTTTGCCCACCCCTGCTTTAGAGTGAGGAAGGCAGAAAGAAGAAGAGGGAAACATTGATGTGAGAGAGAAACACTGAAGGGTTGTCTTCCCTGTGCCCTGACTAGTAATGTACCCTGACAGGTATTGAATGAATAGGCTCTACACGCCTGTATATTCTTTTTAAAAATATATTTTATTGATTTTTTACAGAGAGGAAGGGAGAAGGATAGTTAGAAACACGGATGAGAGAGAAACATCGATCAGCTGCCTCCTGCACACTCCAACTGGGGTTGTGTCCGCAACCAAGGTACATGCCCTTGACTGGAATCAAACCTGGGACACTTCAGTCTGCAGGCTGACGCTCTATCTACTGAGCCAAACTGGTTAGGACCTCTTTTAATTTTTCAACTGCACTTGATATTCACTTATATTCACTATTATTTTAGTCAATAAGTATTTGCCGTGTATTTGTACATAGTTACTGTTCACTAAAGAGTCCCCTTGTGTATTATATTCATGTTTGTGTGTTGCTTTTGGCTGGGAATTGTGCTATTGAGTTCACATTAAGGAGAGAATATTTTAGTTTGTTTTTCTCCTATTTTGTCCTGCCAGTCAAGAATTTTCTCAAAACAGCCAGCCACTGCTTTCATTCCATTGATGTTGGGTGTAAGCTTTACAGTTGTTCACAATTCAACATTAAAGATCCAGCATAGGTTGGCTTTTCCTGCAAGCCCATAAGTGTCCACCAGGCAACAAATGTAGACTGTCATGGTTGAGGCTGTTTTCTGAAGGGTATGCACTGTTCTCTAGATTACATTTGCTTGAGGTCTAATTTGACTAGTAATCATCTTGTCCTGTTGGTACTATTGACTATGATTCAGATGCCACTGTGACAGCTGCAATGGTGCAGTGCCAAGGAGCCATGTGCCAGTTTGTTCTTGTACCACCCTCTGCAGTGAGGGCTCTGAGCCAGTCCTCCCATGTGAGAATCGGCACTTTCCTCATTGCAGGCAGACTCTGATGTGGGCTGTCACTCAGAGCTGAGCCTAATCTCTCAGTGTTTTCAGTTATCTTGGGTTGTATGTGATTAAAATTATGTGCATTTTTTTCTAATAAATGCTTCTGTAACTTAAAAATTTTTTTTTTATTGATTTCAGAGAGCAAGGGTGAGGGAGAGAGAGATAGAAACATTAATGATGAGAATCACAGATCAGCTGCCTCCCCTGCTGGGGATCAAGTCTGGAACCCGGGCATGTGCCCTTGACTGGAATCAACTCGGGATCCTTCAGTTTGCAGGCTTACGCTCTATCCACTGAGCCCAACCATCGAGGACAATGCTTCTGTATTTTTAATGAAATAGGAACTGTTTCTCAACCACTCTTATGCTAAGACATGTTATGGGTGTTTTTTTTTAAAATTTCCTGAGGATGTATTTAATTATCCCATAGTAATTATGTATTTTCAGATCAATTTGTCATT